TCGTCCATTTGTGTTCCTTTTGCGGACGCACTTGTCTCGTCAATGACGATAAATATACTCCCGTGATGCACCGCAACTTTTCAACGACCTTTTACACGCACGTTTTTATTATAATAACGAACGTTTTTACTTCGCGAAATGTACTTATAATGGACCTCTTGCGGTTTCTTTATTTATTCTTACGTTATCTATGACACGCATATGCGTGTTATATATGTATTTTAAAAATCCAAGTAGATAAATACGGTGTTTTAAGAGACTTTAGCCTTCTCAAATCTTAAGTGTTCGAATTCAGACTTACTTCAAACGTAATTCAATATTATCTGGTAATTGTATTCGCATACATATATTCATTGGCTTGCCGGCTGATAGTTATTAAGCACTTTGAAAGTTTATATCGTGATTTTAAATTATTGTAAGAAAAATATTGCGCTAACCAAAAATACGTTATATTTTTTAGCATTTTTTTCCTTTTTTCATTCTATTTTTTTTTTTTTTTTTTTTTTTTTTTTTTTTTCATTTGAATTATAATTTAGAAGGAATCTTAGCTGGTAACTTGTCTCATAAAACTTCGTTATATACAAATTTATACCATTATTTTATTTAATAAGAACCGCAAGGAAAGTTTTAAAGCAAGCGAGATTTATCCGTGCTCGATTCAATTGTACGAAAGATCTAGATAAGTCTTTTCAAAAATTATAAACGAAATTATAAAGTGATAGATATATTTTTTCAATTGGTATAATATTTTAAGTACCGCGAAACGCATTTGTAATATGTATCTGGAAATACAAACTTCTGATTAATAATACGAATGTGTCGAATTAATTATTATGAATATTCGTTCTTATCTAATGTAATCCAGACATTATCACTGATTACCCATAGAATATTAAAACTATTAAAATAAACTATTAAAATTCTCGGCACGAATTGTGATTTTAACGGGCAACACTGCCCACGCCAGGAGACGATGCATTTTCCGATTAAATGCGATCATATCAAAGTTTATATTTAATGCGATTCAATAATTATTGGCTGTTGTACAATGCTCGTGCCAGCCGATAATGACGCAAGGTAACGCGTAAATGTTCCACAAACGTTTGACTTAACCATTCTGTTTGCACCGAAGCCCGAGCCGCTAAGAATTTTCATCCAAACTAAAAAAATAAGCATCCCGTGAAAATTATTTACCACCGGTACGCGGTTGTAGTACGAGCCGCACAACGCTCAATTCAATTTTTTTTCCGATCGCTTAAAAAGCCAAATGCTCAATCAGCGCGGGGGCAATCATAAAAACAGTCCGACGATATTCCCCGGCGCGCATAACTCCGTGTACATAACTCCCCCGGCATTAGCCAATTGAATATGAATGCGCGCGAATCCAGTAGTGTTGGGCCGCTTTCATCTCTCGCGTGTGCGTTACGTCGGCATATACACGGTAGCGCGGTGCATATGCCATTACCGTTAATGCGATCTGCCGCGCGGAGGCCTTGATTACGTCCGAACGGTGTACCTGCAGCTGGAACAAGGGCCTACCTCGCCTTCGGGATGAAAGAGGCCTTCTTCTTACGTGGCGCTAGTTACAGAAATCATAACGCAGTTACGATCCCACCAATGAGGATGCCATTACCGCATTCCGATGTGCATGCGCGTGTACACGTGTCCGCGGGGCACACGTACATGCGAGCGGCTCCGAAACTTACCGCCTGTTTGTTCGGATAATCCGCTTTTGGATTATCCCGGCAACTGGATGATCATCCAACTATCTGTCTATTTTAATTGTTAATGATTTTAATGGAATCGCGAGATGAGGCTCTAATTGTCCGATTCTTATCTCTCATTGTCAGTAGACTCCTGCTTGCCCAAAGTAGCCCAAAGCCCAAGTTAAGTAATTATCGAATACCAAAGATGATGAAAATTGTTGATTCGTCGATAAAGCGCTGTATAAGGGATGAATTATGCTCGATCAGTCGTTTATCGTTTCGTGTGAGGTGTGTGGTGCGCCTAGAGTGAAACCGATGCGAGAATTATTCGCGCTTGATTTGGCCGTTTTAAGGAGCGATTTAAAGAGCCAAGATAAGACCTACGAGGTCGATTACGCCAAATGGAAAATCCATGGTAGGGATGCGCCGGAGAACTCGAGCTTAAGCTCAATTAAGCATCATCGGAGCCAAACGAGCGACATCTATCACACGGCAATGAATCGTAATGGGCTAAGGAGCGACGGGTGGGCGCCTGCAGACGTAGCGAGCGAGGCATGGACGAGGAACAAGATGACAGCTATTCGTCATCTCATAGTCCCTCGATGTGAAATCCTCCTCCAAGTGCGTGCACCACGAGGAAGATGAATAAAGATTAATTTACTTTCGTCTCTCTACGTATAGTATACATATAGTACGGGTCGGTCGTTCCTTTTTTAGGGATCGTTTTCTTTTTATCTACGTCTCGGTTGTGCTTGTATGTCACTGCATATCTTTTCGATGCATAATAACACTTTAACTGAATTTATTCAGTGGAGATTTTACGATTAAGAACGATTGCCTTGTCTTTCTTACAATTGGCTACGAGAATTATTTTGCTTGAAAGTTCTCTCTTCGAAATGGAATGTTAATCTATTAATATATCAGTATATAATTTTTAGATACCAAAGATACCAGCTCATTACCAATTTTGCCAAGCATTACTAATATTGAGAAAACTATTCTTTGGCATTATTATCATTACGTTATTATAACAATATTGATAATGACTGGCAAAATATTGTACTTAGTTTAAGTGCAAATGCGTTAGATTGAGTTCATCATTATTTCTCCACTGGAGAGTATACAAAATGCTTGCAAATAAATAATAATGCCCGAGAAGTTTATATTAGGTGGTAATAACTACTTATACAAATGATGCAGTTTTCAAGAAGATTACAACTTGGAGCGCTGCGAAGCATTGAATATGGGGATACTGTAACCTTAAATCAAAATAACAATAATTCAAAATTTACAAGTGCATTTAGAACACTTATTTAACATATTCAAAAGTACTTGCCGATTACGATTATGAATTCCCGCAGTGCTAAAAGTCGTTTTTACAAGCATGCCATAACCAGTAATAGTCGTATTTCTACGTCGTTAAGCAAATAGTTAGCCAATAGGAAAATATAACGAAAACGCGCGTGCAAAAATGACGCCCGAAACAATTATTTGTTTCTGTTCTCGCGATTACTATTATTTAAGCGATCGACCGTCGCTAAATCGTCTGCAACTAATGCTAATTTCTGCTCGAGTAAAAGTCATGAAAGTCTTGAAAGAGTTACTATTTCTATGCGTACTTTTGTGAATAACAGAAAAAAAGAGAAAAAAAAATGAGAAAAAAACATGACACTACCTTTGATAAATAAATACGAGTATTCAGGAAATATGAAATAAAGTCTATCTACACTGCTGTCGAAGATACCGAGATTCGTTTGAAGAAATCATACGCGTATCGAGTCGTCGATCGAATTGTGCTCTCGGCACATATCAACGCGAGTACCTGCAGCTCCGCAGGAGAGCAGGAATCATCGACCCTAATACACTTGAATCATTGATTCTGACTAATGTCAGTCGCTTATCGGCTAACTCCTCGTTCGTACCAACGACAATAAGGAGTAAGGACAAAGGTCGAGGCACGACATCAGTGAGAGCTCAGGCTCGAATTCCCGGCAGCGACTCTGAGGATATTGCGAGTTCAGTGGCCCAGCATGAAGTGCCTCGGCGACAAGGTGCATCTGCGCCGTCATTATCGCGATTCAGTCGTTTTCGAGAAAGGGAATGGGGAGTCTACGTCCCTGTAGCGATAATTACGCGTTCTAATGAGAAATGACAATTCACGAGGAGGGCTATGGGAATATTTTGCAGCACTGCATTTGACGGCAGGAGTGACGAGCGATTTTAATGCCAGGATAAATGTGACGCCCCTCGTATTTTTATATATCATAAAATTTGAAATATGAATTAAGAACATTTCAGTGCACTAGTTAAGAAGCGGCAGTCAGTATCATTACGCTGTTGATGGAAAAGGGTTAACGGGTCCAGAACTGTCTGCGCGTGCGCTACAGTTTTGTCATACATAAAAATGTGGGTCGACACACGTGCTTTTCGTACTTAACTGCTATACACTTTGACAAGTAATTATATTGCGCATCTGACCTCGTTATGAGCATTTCCTTATTAACTTTTCGAGTGTTTGTTTCAAGAAAAAGAGAAGTTGATGGACAATGAGCGAAAAGCCTTTAGTCCCTCGTACTTGAGGAATGATTTGTGTTTGTCTACTGTTTTATTGGCAATAAATGTTACTTATAAGCTAAGCGTCTTTTCGGTCCAAAGAAAGCGAATAATTATATTTAACTTGATCAGATTTTGCAATCGAAATGTGTCAGCTGCATGCGTATGAAATTCGAAAGATTGATTCATTTTCCTTTTAACTGAAAGAATCTTCTAAATCAATTTTTCTTTTATTTTCAAATAAATAAAACAAATGCATTGCCATTTCTTGGTATTCAAAAAATCACGATCCCAAAGCATATACATAGTATACATAGTATACTATACATGCATACATATATAGTATGCATATATATTGCACATATATACATATTAATAATCTACGCTAATACTTCATTGTTTAATTAATCAAAATAATTTCTTATTATTTCATAAAGTTCATTATCTTTTGACTTCGGTACATTTATAGATGAACGAAATAAACGGTCACATGTACTTAAAATCATCGCCTTGCGTATTAAATATTATCTTATTTTTTATCTATCTGTTTATACGATAAGTAGCCTATTTATATAAGAAATAAAAATGAGTAATCGTATACAATAATACGCACACGATTCCTTCTCATCAAAATAACTTACATTACACTGTATCCGTTTACCCGCAATTAATTTCAAGTTTAAGCATAATTGTTAATATTAATGTTTAAAAAAATAGTAATAAATTAGTGAAAAGCTCATAATGCTCATTTACATCTTATTTTTATTTTTTATTTTGTGGTCTATTCGCTTTTACTTTAGAAACAAAAGAGCAAAAGATTTAATAAACAAAATACCTGGACCTCCGACGCTCCCCATTATTGGAAATCTTTTGATGTTCAACGTTTCTATTGGTAAGAGACTTAATGAATATTGATATATATGCACTCATGTATATATAAATAATAAATTTTATTTTGCACTTTTGTTTTACCTACGTTTTATATTTACCAACTTCATAATTATTTCAAACCACATTTTAATTTAAAATGATTAAGTTTTATTTTCAACGAATTTTATTATCATGGAAATACTACTGTGAGAATATATGAAGACGAATAGCATTTGAAAATTCAAAGATTATAGTGATTTATATGAAACTCCATATTTTTGTAGCACGTAAGATTAAGAGTTGATATAAACTTCTTTGAAAATATTTTGGAACTTTTTGTAAACCGTAACTCATCTCAAATTCTCATCTGATTTAATTTAATGTTTTGAAAAAAAATCTTAAAAAAATCATATCTTCTCCCACGAGTATATTTTCTTTTTCAACTAAAAAATTAATATTCCAGGAATATCAATATATTCATTCGTTTATGAACCATTATTATTTATATAATTATAATCACATAAAATCACTGTATAATGATTAGAAATTATGTTCTATAATTAAAATTATAGAAAATTTATGGAATGTTCTACGTGATCTCAATAAGCGCTATTATCCAATTACAAAATTTTGGTTGGGCTTCATTCCTATGATTAGCGTTCATCATCCAGACGATCTAGAGGTAACCGAAACGAAATAGTTGATTTATTTCTCTTCGTATTACAGTACAATATACGTGATTATCAATTTTATAAAATCAAAAAGAAATAATATTGGAAATGGCGATAATCCACTTTCTACCACTAATCGGCGTATGTGAATCGAAAAGAAATTAATTCAATTTCAAGCGAATGTATGATTTTCTACGTAGAGCTAATAATAAAAAAATCGTATACTTCATAAATAATTATAAAACGTTGTATAAAATTTATTATATCAAAGAAAATTAATATGCAATGTTGCATTAGATTCTGTTATCTAGTATGAAGCATATCGATAAAGGTTCTAGTTACAAATATCTTCATCCATGGTTTAAAACTGGTCTCTTAACAAGCAGCGGTGAGATTATTTTTTGTTACTTTTAAAATCATGAGAAAGTCATATATATATATATATATATATATATATATAAATATTTTTTTTTTTGTTACATTAGGGGAAAAATGGAAGCACCGTCGACAAATTTTGACTCCAGCATTTCATTTTAATATTTTAAAGAAGTATACTATTATTACTAACGACAATAGTAAAATGTTCATTCGTATGCTTAAAACTCAGAAAGACGAATCAGTTCATAATCTTCTATCACTGTGCTCAAATTACACCTTAAACACTATTTGCGGTAAGATGTTATTTAAATATACGATGCCTCTAAACTTATCTTATCTAATAGAATATTTTATTAGAGACGGCAATGGGAGTAGCTTTGGATAAAATAGATGCAGAAATAGCAAAGCAATATAAAAACGCAGTTAATGAAGTAGGCAACATTGTTATTTATAGGTATTAATTAAATAGAGACATTTGTAATTGATTCAAATAGAGATGATAAAATTAGTATTGCGTTTTAATTTCAGAGCTATAAGGCCTTATATACAGGACTGGATGTTAAATCCTCTAATGCAAATTGCCCGTAAACAAAAGCAATCGTTAAAAATATTCCGTGATTTCAGTAATAAGGTGCGCTTATATGTACATAATATAATAACAACATTATAGAATATAATATTGGCGAACATTTATTAGAACGTCGATAATGATTAATTTCATTAAATTTTAGGTATTGATTGAACGAAAAGCACATAAACAGCTTACTAACGCACCTTTAAAAGATTTAAATAAGAGTTCTAAAAGCCATAACTATGAAGATACATTTTTTGGTAATGATAAATATACTTTACGTATATGCAAATGTTTATAAAATTTTTGTTATTATATATATTTGAACTTTATCATACAATATACGTGCTATAGGTGATCGGAAAAAATTAGCTATGCTCGATCTTTTGTTGGAAGCTGAAAAACGTGGCTTAATAGATGACAATGGAATCAAAGAAGAAATCGGAACTTTTATGCTTGCTGTATGTATAAATGAAATGCACTACAAGATTGAATGTTTATATTAAGAATTTAAATTATGATTCACAGGGTCATGATACAACTGGAATGGCCTTGGTTTACGTTATAATGCTATTGGCGGAAAATTCAGAATACCAGGTATATTATAATTAACCATCGATAAAAATTATATTCTATTTCTAATATAATTAAATTTAGGACAAAGCTAGATCTGAAGTAATTACAATTCTCAATAGAAGTAAAGGTGAAATAAGGATGGAAGAAATACGGGATTTGCATTATCTCGAAAGATGTATAAAAGAATCCCTTCGACTTTTCCCCCCAGTTTCGGCCCTTTCTCGTTGTTTAAAAGAAGATTTAAAACTAAGTATGGCCAATTTGTTTATTCAATTTTAATTTTATTAACTAAACATATTATTAATTAAAATATACTTATAATAATGCAGAAGATTATGTAATACCCGCCGGTACAGAAATAGGATGCCATATCTTTGATGTTCATAGGGATCCAAATTTTTGGCCAGAGCCAGAGAAATTCGATCCCGACCGATTTCTTCCTGAACGAATACAAGGACGTCATCCTTTCTCCTATATACCTTTCAGTGCAGGTCCTCGAAATTGCATTGGTAATTTTATATAGAAGTCTTTGATAAAAAAAAAAAAAAAAAAAAAAAAAAAAAATTATTTTACTAAATTATAACCTTCAATTAATATTCTAGGACAAAGATTTGCTTTGATGGAGATGAAATCTTTAATGGCTCATATTTTGTATAATTTCAAATTAGAACCCGTGAGTCGAACTTCGGATATAAAATTACTATTGAATTTAGTAACTCAACCATCAAAACCAGTACATACAAGATTCATACGAATTGATAATAATAATGAACACATATAAAATCACGAACGAGCTGTATGATAGTGATGTATAATATTAATAAGATAATTCATCTCATTCCTTTTGTAATTTCAATAGCATTATTATTATTATTTAATTATAGCCATTATTATCGTAATTTTTCGTAACTTTTTTTTACCGCGCACACTTTTCTCTCCGTACTTTTATATGATTAATTTATACACTCCAACCGAAGCCATATAATATTGCTCGGGACAGGACAATGTAATTAAAAAAAGAAAAAGGAGAGAGAGAGAGAGAGAGAGAGAAAGGAAAAGGAAAATGGAAAAAGAGAAAAAGCTTCAAATATCATTTCGTATGTTCCGTTTGACCGTTGACAAATAAGCCGCAATAAAATTAATCTACTTTTGGAGTCGTTATAATGTAATTATTACATACACCCGAATCGAGAAAGCAGGAAGATTATACTCGCGTCTGTTCTATGTACTCTGTCGACTCTATACAAGAAAAGGTCGGAGCCGAAGGCAAGGAAAACAAATTTAGCGACGGATAATAATGCCCCCTCCACGTCCCACACCGCACAACCTATTTCATCCCAATTTCAACCACAACGATCGATCTCCACTACTGTTTCTCAGCTAATGAATAATAAGTTGATATTCCAAGACTGTAAGAATTGCCGTCTGCCTTAGAGAGATGTTGAGTGTAATATTTTTCTCCCAGGGTCGCCACTGCGCTTCACTACTGACACTGAGAAGCCTGACCACGCTTCCAGTCATTTTTATCGACGCAAGCTTATATCCCGGAAAATGACTCGTGCCTCTACTATGCAGTTATGTTTTATATTGAGTTGAGAGATATTCTTTTTTCTTAATCTTGTTATCCATTTTACGAGTGTTTATGGTAATGGCTGTTACTTATGACTCGCGTTGCTTAAGGTTTTGGAAGAAAATAATTTAGTGCTAGTAAAGTTTAAGAAGTTGTTTAAAATTTAAAATACGTAATAATTTATACGGCATTGACATTTAGCATTGGTTTAGTCTTTGTGAGATATTCATAATTTAAGGTCACGAGTAAATTGAACGCACCCACTGATTCGATTATTCAATAATTATATATTATACGCGTTCAATATCATAGGCTCGAACATGTTGGAATAAAAATTCTGACTATATTTTAATAATAACTTTTATTATTACGATATGTGTGATATTTAAAATTCCTGTCTCATTGAAATGAGAAATTTTTATATTCTTAAGCATGGATATTAGATTCGACAACAACAAAAATATATATGTAATAAAAAACAAGCTATTTCTATTATATTTAGAATTAGATCAAAGGAAACACGTGAAAAATGAAAATATGTTGAAATTCATTGAATCGTAATTTTCAAATAACAATTTTAACTCTTGTGCTTTCTCTTCTGTAACAACGATAAATTAAAAAATACCGAGTAGATTGTACCATTCCTTTCGTCTATATTACTTTTGTTATAATGAATCTGTCTTTTCTTTACAACTCGTTCGTGTGACTTATGTATTCACACTAATATTGCATATGAAACTTTGCATATATTATATAATATAACAGGATTCTTTTACTCTACAAAACCAATATAAATATACAGCTTGTAAATCTGATGTATTATATAAAATAATTTAGTTTTCTCCACTGTTAGTTGACTGAATATCTGTTCAAATAATTTTTTTCCCGCTTGCAAATTACTTTTACTCTAAATTATCGTACATATAGCTGAAATGAAGCTGACAATGACTATGAATCAAGGACAATTATTATTACAAAACATTCATCTGTATGCATTGCCTTTAAGTATTTCTGTTATTTATGCGATATTTCACTGCGAATAAAGTGCAATGCGAAATCATATCTGTCAAGTGTGTAATATAAGTCTTATACTATATAAAATTTAACAAAAAATAGTTATACAATATTGTAAGGTCAGTTAAGAATGAATACATTCAAAAGATTACTTAGATAGACAATTATTCTATCTTTGTGCATGCAATTATACATGTATCATATTTTTAAATATCATGATATCAAATTATTTACTAATCATAGATTCCTTTAAATATACGTTTATTATACGTTATTATTGGTAATACAAAGCTTAGCATGTTCCATAAAGTACAACTACTAAATTGAAATCATTTTCAATCGCACGAATTTGATAAATTTCGTCATATATATATATATATATACTTCTTACATACATTGTATAAACAGCAATTTATAATATTTAGATACTCGCCGTATACTGTTTCCTCTATTTTCAAATCTAGTTAGGATCATTACCTTTATCCTATCTCCCTTCTCTTTCTCGTATTCGTTTCTCGGATTTTCTTAACTCGAGTCCCTTGCAGCTTGGTATACGTCGCATTCCTCGTTAGTAAGAGATTTAACTGATTAAAGGGAAGTTCTTTTCCTCAGTCGGCCGTGCCGTGAGCCTCTTAAATTGGAGCTGATTAGCACTTGACCTCGCCCATCCGAGACCTTTCCACAAGCGGCTTCGAAGCTAGCCTGTCTTAATTATCCGCGCTAATCGTGCCCCTTTTCATGAGTAACATCGCGATCTCGCCAGAACACCGTTTTGTCACTTTGAGATAAACAATGTCCGGGCACGACACACTCGAGCTCTTTTACTCGCCTCTGGGATTCTTCCTGAAAAGATACTAAGTCCCAGCCGACCACTCCAAGTCATTTACCAACGTTAATGATCATGTAAATAGATTTTAACCTTCCACGATCTAAATTCATTATTGCAACATTTAATAGTTCATTGCATGCATTTTGTTGGGAGATGTCGCGCGCATGCGACGTTTCATTATTTTTTTATTTCTTTTCTTTTTTTTTTTTTTTTTTTTTTTTTTTTTTTTTTTTTTTTTGTTTTTGTTTTTCGTTTGCATCTTTGCCACGAACTTTTTTCATAATCATTGTACGCTTAAGCGAATTAACGATTAACTTTTAAATAACATTAACAAACATCTCGAAGGCATAAGGCATTATTTTCTTTTAAATGCCTCTGTCCAAATGCTCCGCTAAACAGGAGCAGAGCCTTAAAGTAGAATGGAAAAGTTTCGCACGCCACGAAGTCCGATAAGCGGTGGAGTTGGTACGCAAGAAAAAACGACGTTACGTAGGTCGGGATTTTTACAGTAGCTCCTTACCGAGGATCGACAAAAGCTGGCGAATGTCCTCCGTGCGGCGTATGTCGTGACCAGAGCCATAGGCGTAGTATCTGATGTTTACATGTGTTTGCTCCGGCCACGCGGATTCGCCTCACGCGATCCTCTTCGTTAAATGTGTACGTAAAATGTGCATATATCCAACATTCCACTCTCATTGGCCTTACAGCCATGCCACCTGTATTTCCTCAAAGCCGATACACGCTGGGAAGCGAGGGCGCGTTATTATAATTCGTCATTTGCTTGTTCATTCTAAAGTTTATTCTTTGAATAGGTCTTCGCGCTCTGCTCTGTATACTGCTATCGGGTAAATATGAAGCATGTCGTACTTCTACTGGCTTCCTTATCCTTAAGAAATAAAGGAGTCGAGCGACCTCAAGTATCACATCTCCGTATAAAATATCCAAACGATTTCCGAGTTGGAATAACGTGAGTTTAGCGCATCAGCGTATAAAAGGTAAAGGAGGTCGCTGGCCGATTAGGACGCAAATCACTCAGGTTCGCCGGTATATATACTTCCTGGCGTAAACGAGCGAGAATCCGAGACGCGAGCAGGAGGAATAGAAGTAAAGATCTGCGCGTATGTCGGGATGGGCTGCAGTCACGTGTGTAGATACGTAGGCTTGCGTTATGGAGATACGCGGCTACGTACGTTACGAAGTCCGCTGACAAGAAAAGAAAGCGAGAGAGAAGGAGAGAGAGAGAGAGAGAGAGAGAGAGAGAGAGAGGATGGTAGTCTGTGGGACAGGCGGGCAAGAGTGGGAGGGAGGAGAGACAACCCAGTAAAGGCCAAATCAACTAACTTACCGAGGCCGTCTGCTTGCTCGGTTGAGATAAAAATTGCACTTGCAGTACTGGAAGAGGAAAGGTGGCTCATCCATTGAAATGCATTCGCATTCGACCCTCTGGATTTCACCTTACCAGTGGTTGTCAATGGCTAATTTAATATTAACAATATGACTTTTCGTATTTCAATAATTGAAAATGAATCGTTTTATATTTCATTAATTGAGTGATTTAAAATGACAGTATGAACGGTCGATCAATGACGATAGAAGATATATTGGGAGATTAAAATAAATAAATATAATAATAATTGTTTTCCTCAATTATAAAACACATATTCTTAAGATACGAATACCCGTACATTAATTTGAGTCCAGCGCATTGGATGATTTTATAAATATATATTTGATACGTCGTACGGAATATCCAATCTTTATTTATCCAAATAAACGTAATTAATCTGAAATTATTTTAAAATATATATTAGAATTAATCATATATGGGCCATTTTTATGTTCCAATAATCATGTTTGATAATAGAATTTTATAATTATTAATTATCTTCGAAGATTACGAAAGATTATGAGTTAATGTATAAATTATAATAATTAATAATTGATAATTTAAAATCCAGTAACACTATTGGTAATTACTTTAGTTAATTATAGTTGTTGTTACTCGGCTTGTTATTATCAATTTGCTAGTAAAAAAAAAAAAAAAACATAAAATACGTAAGATTATAAAAGCAAGTTCTTGTATCTTAATTTTCATACGCCAGTTTACAATTAATGATAGCAAGTTGTTCAATTAATGAATAACAGTATTTTCGTAATATCTTAACAGAATATATATCTTTTAGTTTTATCATCCTTTCCATTAGATTGAAATAATTCAATAATTATAACAAATTTCGCCCGTTGCTTTAAAAAAATTACATTCAAAATTTCGACATTTGTATAAAATCGATATTTGTATCGTGCAGCTTTTACAAACTATGGAAAGTGTTGTTTCGATAGCTTTCTTCTGTCATTGAAGATGTGAATATGCGCATAATTCAGGAACGTCATGGATGGCCGGATTTAAAAAGTATATGTATAGTCCAACAATAACTTGGGGCGCATCAT